ATATACACACACACACACATACACACACACATATATCTTTGCATTATATATATATCTCTCACATATTTTTGATTCACTCATATTTTTGATTTACTCATCTGTTATGTTGCTTCCATATCTTAGCTATTATAAGTAGTGCTTCAACAAATACAGGAGTACAGGTTTCCTTTTGAATTAGTGCTTTTTTGTCTTTTTGATAGATTTCTAGGAGTGGAATGGCTAGAGCACATGGTAGATACAATTTTAGTATTCTGAGGTTCATACACACAGCTTTCTATAGTGACTGGATAAACATGGCCATCTTTTGAAGACCTTACAACCTACTTCACTGATAAAAAAGTTAAAGGGGACTCCTCCTGGTGGTGCAGCAGTTTAAAGTGCAGCAATAAGAAGCTAAAACCACTTCAGCATGAGTTAGATCCTTGCTCCAGAGGTGACCCACATGGCACGGCAGACCTCTCCTGACCTGCCTGCTTCTCCCCTCAGCAGTGTACTTCGTCAGTCGGCCTGTTCTGCTCCCCACTCTGTCTCTGGTGAATCCTCCCACTGCTCTTGCACCGCTGGTCTGTACCCCAGTTCTGTATGCATAAATAAATAAATCTTAAAAAAAAAGTTAAGGGGAAGAGGTAGCAACTCTTACATCTTCTATTTGAATATACTATGTACGTTGACTATCTAATATATTGAATATATTAGATCTGCTGCCTCAATTGCTCTAGTGTTATGATTTACTGAATGACTGAATTAATTAATCCATCAGACATGTCTACAGTACTTACTCTGTCTAGGACTCCATCGCTAGTCTCAGGATACTTTTGAGACCAGAAGACAGAAACAGAGTTGAAAGCAAGTAAGTGTAAAGTACTATGAGTGACATGGCAGATCCATCTATTATGTGCATTATCTGTCATGCATTAATGATCAGAATACATATAGTAACAAAGGAGAAGGGGTCTTTCTTTTCTTGGAATGAGGTTTGGAGCAGAAGCATCACAAAGCTCAAAGGGACTTGGGTATGTTTGGGACCTATTAGGAATTTCAAATGACAGAAACAGACTGACTGAGGTAACAGCAAGACATGATGGAAGAAGAGAGTTGAAGCAAGCCAGGCACAAAGGACTTTGGATTTTATTCTCCAGAACAGTTCTAAGTAGTTGGACCACCATTATCAGATTTGCATTCTAGAAAAATTTTCTTGGAAGGATAGACTTAAGGGGACTTGATTGGAGGGAGGGATTTCTCAGGGTAGGTGGTAGTGAGCTGGCAAAATAAAATGTGATTCTGAACAAACCAGTGAGAGATGCAAAGTTTTGTTCAAGGTGCAAAACCAGGGGAGAGTAGTAGACTTCAGAGAATTGGTATCAGTTTTTAAATATGGAAACTGAGGAACCCAAGAAAGTGACACAGCTGATAAAAATATCCAAGAGAATTTTCCTCACTGCTTCCATTGCAGTCTGGATACACAAGCAGTGTGGCATTTTGCACACTCTGCTGGAGTTCATTATATTGTTATTGCTTGTCTAAATGCTTGTTGCCCTGAGACACTAAGCTTCATATGACACTAAGCTTCATTTGGTAGTAGAACCACACTACCAAATTATTTGTTTATATGGAACTCCATATAAACAAGTGCTTAAAAATTGCTTAAAGAGTCAAACTCCTGATGTCACAGCCAGTGTCTCTGCCACAAGTATCACATGACATGGAAATAGGATGACATCACCCATTTCCATTTTTCCTCCTGAGGAGGCCGGAGCAAGCTGACTTAACAGGCAGCTGATGACAGATTATTTGACTTAAAAACTTCTATCACTTTAGTCATTATGGAAATGCATCCCTACCTCCAGAAGCCTGTGTTAAGATATAAACAGTGAATATTTAAAATATAAAAAATGTCATTAAAAGTTGATGGTTATGGTGATATTATCTTCAGTGGTTTTGTTATCTACAGATAGACACAGTAATTTCCTTTTATGTCTCTTCTGATGCAACTTAACAGTTTAAACTGATCACCTATTTTCTTCCACACAGATCCGTAATGCCTCCTGCCTGGCTCTTTCAAGATGGAGGACAAACCTACAGGAGAACCTGCACAAGGGGTGTCTAAATTCAAAATTTCCACGAAGGTAGAAAGCACAGGACACTGGCTGGTGGAAGATCAAGCTCGGATATGGGAAGTTTTAAAGACAGAAGAGGTAAGATTAATCAGAATGACCTGACTGATACAATGATAGATTTGCCTATACCTGAAACTGATTCCTAGCGCAGTCAGCACCACAGACCAACTTGGCAATCTTTATTCTGAAGTCATAGGCACAATCATGGAGGCAGTAGCCAGGGGTGTGTCCCTCTGGTATTAATGACTCCACAGTGATTCAGCCAAGGAAGTAGCATTGACAGCTGGCTTAAATGTATAAGTAGACAGTCTTGTAGAATTCTACCAAAGTTAAGTAGAAACTCAAATCATGGTGACAGAGTTGATTCCTAAAGACCAATTAAAACTGGTAGAATTATATAAATTCATTGAATGACAGCACCAGACTGAGTGTATCAGTTAAAGCTCTTTGGTTATAAGCAACAGAAAATTGACTAATGGGACTCACTGGAGGATATTGGGTAGTGCACAGAATTGAGAAATTTGGAAAACTGGACTTTGGAAATAACTGTCTTTTCTCCTTTGGTTTGTCCTGCTACCTTTCATGTATCATGTTTTTATACATTTTTGTATAGAAAGAACCTCTTTTTTTCTCTGCTGACATGATTCTAACACAACATTTCTATCCTTAAAGGAAAGCTGGATATCTGACAAGACATTTCCCTCCACTGAGTTACTGTTTTTTAAAATTGTTTCAGTTGTTTTTGGAATGTGCATACTCCATATGAATCAAGGGTGAGCAGGTAAATTCTGTAGATATGAAGAAATCTAATAGGATTTTGGGAATTTGATTGAAATGATAAATTTGCTGATGTGGGGAGTATCATATCTTTAGGTTACTTAGTAGATATTTGTCTTATTCTTGATTTGAAAGGACAAATTTCAGTATTTCACCCTTAGTATTTCACCAGTAGTTCATCCTATAATGCTTTGATATAAGATTTTCATAAGTGAGGTTAAGAAAGTTCCCTCTATTCCTTTTATTGCTGTCAATTTCTTTATAATACTTGATAACTACAAAAGACGTGTAAGTTATAGACTATAGTATGAAAAAGAGCTAGAACTCTTAAAATTGGCTCAAAACATATGTAGACTATTCACCACCTATCCAACATGATCATTTTCTTCCCCCAAAGAAACTTTTCTTGAAATGTTTAATCATTCTTTGAATTTTTCAAAAGTTTTTACTGCATATATATGTATCCTCAAACTATACTATTTATATATGTTCATTTGGTGATATATTTTGTTGAGGATACACACACAAACATACATATGTGCATTACATAAAACAAATGTTTACACATATATGTGTGTTGGTGTATGCACATATGTGTATATATACACAGTGTTGTTTGGGGCTACATATTCTTATATATGTCAAATATATGGAGAGAAAGACTCACCTCTTTTACTCAACATATTTCTAAGATTTTGTAACATTCAACCACATATATAGTCACAATTAATTAATTTTTATTGTTGATGATGTCATCATGTGATTTTATCAGATTTACTTATTCAGATCTACTTATTATGGTGATGGACATTTCAATTGTTAAGCTTTTATGAACACATATGTCTTGTGCTCCTGTATAAATATGCCCTGTGTGTGTAAGTTTTTCTTGATTAAACCTATTAGGTAATTTTTTTTTTTTGAGTTGTGCATTGCAGCCGCTAAGCAGTACATACAAGTTCTCCAACTTCACATCCTTGTCAACTTTTGCAATTTCTAATTTCTTATTTTATCCAATATAGTTGATATAAAATAGGTTTACACTCTTGACACAAAAACACTGATTGACATGTTTATTGCTGCTTTATTTACAATTGGAAAAACATGGAAGCAGCCCAGATGCCCAAAAGTAGATGACTGGATTAAAAAGATGTGGTACATATATACAATGGAATATTACTCAGCAA